AAGTTCCCAACAGAAAACGTTCGGAAATTTTTTTAGGGTTGAATCGTGGTTATCAGTAACGTTAATTCAAGGACTCTTAACGAGGGCACGAATGCACTGTCTGTCAGCAGGTGAGCGCGCTACTCATTATTTCAACATTCAAAATCAGGTTTGAGTTACCGTAAATCCTCTGTTAAGCCCCCCTCACTCTAATAAGCCCCCCACCTTTTCAGGGGAAGAAAGTCCTAAGTCCAAGCCCTTAAACTCTTCAAAGTTTTATGAGCAGGAAATAGTGACCTCACCCATGGTGAGGGCATTAAAATGTGTTTATGTACATTAAGGGTAGAAGTTTTTACTAATAGCAATGTATTTACTGTTTACCCGATGAAGTGGACCTTTGCGATGTCGAAGCTGTACCACATTCTATCAACTGTAGTAGGCCATTCTAGTTGAGGCATGGAGAATCTGTATCGGTAGTGACTGAAGTTGAAGGCAATCTCTGCAAGCAGAAACAATTAAAAAGGATAGCAAGCAAGTTACACTGGTATCGCTTTGGAAAATGTTCGAAAAGTACTTACTCTTGGTTTGCGTGAGATCGCCTACCATTAATTATACTAGTAATAATTGACAGTACAGCTGCCCCCGCTCTACATATTGTCGGTCAATAGTATTCTTGGTCTTTGTATAGCTCTTTGAAATATACCGATTCATAGTGAAGGTTTTCAAACATGTTCCATACAATAGGTGAGAGTAAAAACAGGAAACGCAAGGTTCCATGCACTGTTTCAGTTCGATCTACACAGCTTTGATCTGAAGACATTCTCAGTTTCGAGAATATCTTATTCTCAACCGTAAGAAAAGATTTAATAAGAAGTTGGAATATTTCGCTATGTCTCTTTCACTTTGCTATATTTTTCTCCTCCCCTCGTCTCGCCCTTCGCACTCGTTTCGCGCAAAATGCCGCGTTCGCCTCGCCTGGCTCATAAAGCGCCTGTTATGCAGGCCAACGATTTACATACAGTTCATATTATTTACCGGAAGGTAAGCCTTAGAAATTAAAAGGTTTTCGCGTTCTAATCCTTTTTTAAACTTTATAGGAGGACATCTGTCAGTAGGGAATAAGTCAGCATAGCATTTGACTCTCGGTGAATTTCTGTAATCGTCCATCGTTCCTGCTAGTGATAAGCTAGCAGTTGGTTCGGGCACTCGTCTCAGCTGTCGTCTTGCTTGTTTGTGGGCTGAGTCGTATCCCCCAAAGGGGAGAAAGAGTGTCTGGCAAATTGTTTCCAATCAAAGATTTGTGAACTCATGTCTGGCAAACTCCCCAAGTGTTTAAATATACACAGTTATGCGCACGTTATACCTTCATCTTCGAAACTGGCGGCCTCTACAGGCGCCCGCATTATGAGACTGATCAGCGGCTCATTTGTTTTCGGAATAATTCAAAGTGGACAGACTGCAAATTACAGTAGTTGCTAAAAATATATCTATGTGTCGTAACCGTTCAACAGGAGGATGCCTAAAATGTGTGCAATTCCACAATTTGTTTCGGCTCCATTAAATCCTATACCAATTGCAGAGCATTTTAGGAGGAGCCGCCCACCATGTGAGCACAGTCACGGACAACACATATAAGTGAGGAAAACAACGCAAAGTAAAATTAAGACGTTATTTAACGGGCTAAATGCACACGTCAATTAAATTAATAGTGTGGCAAAGAATAAGCAGGAAGAACAATCTAGGAAGCGAACACTGAAAGAGAGACAGTGGCGAAGATAGTACGCTGCTAGCATTCCCTCTTCAGTATGTCGAGTCGAGGCTTGGCAGGACTCGATAGCGGGAACTAGCCGAGAAGGGAACTGGAGAGAGGCAGGAGTCCAGAGAGAGAAAAAGAGAATGATACAACACGCTATATTTGTCTGGTTGAGCTTACCGTGATTTCCGACGCATGTCATGTAAGGAACAATCGCAGCCATGTCTTGAATCCTGTTCATGAACGCATCACCGTTCTACCGACAAAAACAAGGAATTCATTTTAGTTATAAACCGTTCAAAATCCCCAATATCACGACAAACATTTTTCTCGGTTCCATCAAGCCATTTATTCTCATAACTTCTGAGAACCTGAGGAACAGTTATCAAAAGGGGAATTTACCCTAATCATTGCAAAACAGTATAAACCGGCGTTTCATCTGTAACGACGACTTATTCAGAGATTCAGGGGTAACTAGACTGCTAGACAAGACTCCGTTTTTTAAGGCCGTCGAGGTAGATGCCTGGGACACCTGCCCACCCAACTGAAAGCGTGAGAGGTGCGACAAAAACAACAACAACGATAATAATAGTGATAATAAGTATTAGCCGATCGTATTTTTGCGTCGTGAGGACAACGCATATTTCATTTGCTCTGGCTGTGAAAGTAATTTCTTCTTTTTTCTTCTCGGGCTGCCGCGCTCGCTTCTCGAGTCTCTCGACTTTCACGCGTGCGTGAGCTCCTCTCACTAGATTTTGAAGAAAATTAGACTGCGTACTCCCCAAGCAACTGATTGCTGCAAGGACGTGTACAGTGCAAAAGCTCGCGTTCGAAGGCTTTTTCAGCAGGGCTGCGAACACTGGAGAAGAAACCGGGGCTTCTGCTATTGACTGGTCCACTTCGTGTGCAAACTCTTTCCCAGGGTCCTCTACTACTCGTCCACTCCCTCTCGCTCCAGGGAACGGGTAGGAGAGGAGCCTGGGAACAAGGTTGTTTTGTAGGCGGTTTACTACTGTATACTACTAAACCGATTCAAACGCATAATAAACATAAAACTAACTTCGTTTCTTTAGTGACGCAAGTTACGGAACCTCGTAGTTTTTCTTGCGATTTATGCCCCGCATCTAACGGAAAAACACTTGGGGGTGATTACTTAAAGCCAGATTAGCAACAAACAAAAGTTTAAAAGACTCAGTAGGTAAAGATCTGTTTATTAAGTATATAAATTGCTCGCTAGTTTGTGTAGCCTGAGTAAAGCCACCCCTTCCCCTAGACAAAAAAAAAAGGACAAAAAAAAACAAACAAACAAGAAAATCGGGAAGAGGGGCTCTCTGCCAGGCTATAGTCTGGGGTGAAAGCCCTAAGGACGCTGTTATTAAACAGCAAAAAAATTATCAATCTGTGAGCGTCAGATAAATTTAAAATGGTTTTGAACGCGGTTTTATTAAACAACGCCTAAACTCTAAATTAAAAAGATTTTTTTTCTCGCAACAGTGAAAGGAAAATCGATTTTATTTTCTCCAAAATTTTCGACGGCTTAATGGTCTTTCTTGTTCACGGCATCATCTTGGCGTCTGGGGAAAAGATCAAGATCACAAAGCGACCCTGAACTTTAAGTCTGACCTTGGGAGGTGGGACCCGTTTCTCGACTTTATGGGCGCCAAGTCAAATATTCTAAAGAAGAAAAGCACTGGACGCACAGTAGCAAACAAACTAGTCCTTTTCGGTTTGTAAAGTTATAGTTTTATCATTATTTTATCTGCAAAACTATCGAAACCGATTACGTCAAACGGTAATCGCGAATTTGTACCACGAGACCAAGACCTATTTACTTGTCGTTATTAATACGGTTCATTCTTTCTACACATAATTTAGTAGTTTCATGCAATTTTTTGTCCGGAAGAAATGTTTTGAGCTGTTTTATCTGCTTATTTTCTATTTTAAGAAATTCTTACCTTGAATCTGACGCTTGTCGTTTGCCGTATACGTGAAGCTTAAAGTCTCTAATACTAATAACAAACAACTACAGCATTACCGGCTTGCGCCGGCCAAACTGAAAACGAGACGAAGACTGGGTACCGACTTTTTGCCTCCAGTTGAAGTAGGGGTAGGTACACATCTACAAGTGTCTCAACTGCCATTCCGATTTAAACCATAAAAAATTTAATTCACAGAATGTTGCAAATGAATGTGTTAACCGTGTCAATTTTGTTTTAATAAGCGGCCCTTGGTCTCGAACTTCAAACTCGTTTAGTGCAACAATGTCACACTGTCACTGACACTTTGTTCTCCAGGGAAGAAATCCTTCATTAACAAGTTAAAACACACTTACCAGTCCCCCATTAGTTTGAAGGTCATACGCGAAATCCCCAACATGTAAAATGGCCGTGTTATGTCCAGACTGGGCCTCCTGTATCAGCCGTTGAAGACTGGGCGCTCCGTCAATACGACCCATGTCTCCATAAACCAAGAACTGTGGCGACCAATCCTAAGCAGAAAAATTGGAACATTGCTTTCAAAAAGGCTCTCTCGAAAGGATTTGCCATGGGACTTTATTTGCAACTGGTCAGTCTCGTTAGACTGAAAGATCTTGTTGAACTGGGGACACGCCATTTCGCACTTCCCCCGCCGTAGACGATGAGTATTTGAATAGGGGGTTCGGAAATTTTTCTCCGTAGAAGCCGATAAAATTTGAACCTTTCGAACAAATTTTTCAAAAGTGCTGACAAAACGTAAACCTTTCGGATTTAATTTCTCCAGAAAGCGCCGACGAAAAATTGAGGGTTAGGATTCCAGCAATCTCTAGGGCGGGGGTGAGGACAGAAAATGGAACGTCCCAAGGTAACTACGTTTTTGCTTTTCTTGTCATCGAGCAGTAGTTTGTCTTTAGGAGATGTGCAAGTTTTCACGTTCAGCTAATTGGGATGAAAAATATTTTTTTAAAAAAATATTGATATGAGTTGCACGGCTGAGACCCATCCCTAACCCCTTCCCCCAACACACAAACCTGTTACCAAGTTATACCAACCACACCCACCCTCCACCCCTCGCGTAACCTGCGAATTTTTAAAACCATGTGCGGGCAGTCTTATCTTTCAGATGAAAATTCCTGGGACCTTTATCTGCTCGTTAGCAAAACTGTCATACTGAAAGAGCTGTGATAACAAGAAATTATTTGCTTTTTTTAAAGTTTTGTTCAAGTATTTTTTGGAGTTAGAAATGTAAGCTTACTAACTATTATAATAAGAACAAGACATTTAGTTCTTTGCTTCATCATCGATGAAATTGTGAGCATCTTTAATAAAGCAATTAGTTTTTATTGAAACAATTAAGGACAAACAATAAGACTACATTTAAATCACGTAAAAGCAAGACACTTTGTTCTTTTTCTCTTCGTAAATCAATAATCCTCATGAAGGAAATTTATCCGTTTTGTTCACCAAACAAAACTATCCTTTATAGTCTGCTGTTTTAACAACCAGTATAAAATAATTTTGATAGACTTTCTTAATAACAAAGTTTTTATATTGGCCTCTTCGGGAATGTTCAATACTTGCAATATAACAAACCAAAACCGAGCCTATTTTTGTCCAAGTGGCATGAAAAGTTTTTTTTTTTAACAAGTTGTTATTCTCTGCTCTGGACTTCCAAACGACGCTAAAACAGCGGCAACTTCTTCGGACGAATGGCCAGACCTGAAAGAGCTGTTGTCCGCTATCGGAGGCAGACTGCGGTACTTCACAAATGCACTGTTATCGGAGATGGAAAATCCTGGACAGGATAGAGGTTCCACGGGACAAGAAGGAATGCCTTGCTCGGGCCAGCTGTTGTAGCGACAAACTTGCCCATCGCACATGGTCCACAACTGAAAGGGTGTCGGAAGATACGCACTACAGTTGTACGACTGCTGTCTTTGGACATTAAACGGAGATTGCAGAATGTTGGAAACGCTTTGCACTAAGCGACCACCAAGTTTGGGGAATGCCTCGTGGGTCTCGTCTAGGACGCTGCTGTTTTCTTTCAACAAAGATGATTCGTTTTTCACAACCGACGAAGATATGTTTACTGCAAAAACAAGCAAACGAACATTAACTTAAGTGAACAAGAGACTTGAAACACGACTAAAAAAATAAAAATTCATTGAGCGGTAAATAGAAATTACGGTAAAACACATGTTGCTTTTTCTTCGAGTTAAAAAACTAAAGCGCTGTTTTAAAGTTATAAAGTATGCTAAAAATAGCACCGTTAATTAAGGTATAAAAATAAATCAGCTTAACAGAAATTTCGTCAGTTTGGAACCTCTGCTGTTGTAAAGAGAGCGAGTTCTTGTAAACTTAACAATGTTTTTCTTTTTTGCGAAAACAGGAAAAACGAAAGAAAAAAAAAAAAAAAATTAGCAAATAAGAAAACTACGTTCGTTACAAAACAACAACAACAAAAAAGAACAACGAAATTAAACCTTTGAAATTTACCTAGTGATTCTACAGGAGTTCCACAGTAAGGATGGTTTACAATGTCCTTCATCTGTTTTCTTCGAAGACGAACTTGCTGTTTCATGATGTCCCTTTTAAGGCGTCCCTTGACACATCGCTCACAATGACAGCGCAAGAAAGGACAATTATGCTTGTGTCCTTTGAGGCTTGAACGTATTCCATGATTGCTACAAAGAGTGCAGGACGGCTTGCGCTCCTTCCTGATGTCAATAAGTTTCGCAAAAGAAGATTTCTCCATTTTTCTGCGCTGCACCACGTTTTAGCCAAGAAACAAGTNCAACAACAACAAAAAAGAACAACGAAATTAAACCTTTGAAATTTACCTAGTGATTCTACAGGAGTTCCACAGTAAGGATGGTTTACAATGTCCTTCATCTGTTTTCTTCGAAGACGAACTTGCTGTTTCATGATGTCCCTTTTAAGGCGTCCCTTGACACATCGCTCACAATGACAGCGCAAGAAAGGACAATTATGCTTGTGTCCTTTGAGGCTTGAACGTATTCCATGATTGCTACAAAGAGTGCAGGACGGCTTGCGCTCCTTCCTGATGTCAATAAGTTTCGCAAAAGAAGATTTCTCCATTTTTCTGCGCTGCACCACGTTTTAGCCAAGAAACAAGTAGACTGTTGTTTTTCTCAAGAGGCGCGCCCTCTATAAACCCACAAATGACAAACAAACAAAGAGAAGTCGAACATGATTGGACAATAGCGCCTGTTCACGTGCGCAACTCGTGTTAAAAGGTGACAAACATTTGTAAAAGTTATTACAAACAACAACAACAAAACACCAACAAAAATATTTCATATTGAGACGAACTCACTTTATCAAGCAGAAATAAACGCGATATAATCAAACACATACTGATGAAAAAAAATAACCATGAAAAACTAGGATGGAAACTACGTTTCAGCAAAAGAAGTTGAAAACCTGCATCTCAAATCAGTTTCACATCGTTTCACATCTGATTCCTTTTCCTTGAAATCAAGCACGAAATGTACAAGAAATCTACTACACCACTTGTAAATTTTCTTCGCGACAAGACCTTGACATTTCCTGCTTTTAGTACGCAACGTTCAACTCAACAACAAAAAGTTGCAATTTTCTTGAAATCAGTCGCTGCCTGAGGCAAGATTTGTATCAAATTTAAACTCCCTCTCAATTTCCAGATTCTCACAACACTTGTTAACCTTTTCGAAACACTCGCCTTGACAACGTTTCTTCTAAGTGCCTACAGTTTGTTGGAATTTCTTTCCTTCTTACTTGTTTTGTTCATTTGATCGATTTACATATAATACGTGATGTAAGCATCGTAGAAAAAATGTTTATCATCCAAAGTCATGAAAAGTATAGTGACACTAAAAGATATTTTTTCTGAAAATAATAAACTCTTCAAAGCAAAAATAAAATAAAATAACATAACATAAAGGCTTGTAGAAAGAAAAGATCAAGTACTTTCTTTGGAACTAAACAAACCCGAAACACTGCTTTGATTCTTGCGAAAATATTTGATCAGTTGTCAACGCATTGTCTCCTCCTATTTTAAAATTAGCGCGCAGAATTCTATTACGGTATGATTAATGGCGATTTCCATATTTTTCACCTCTTTTTCTCTTGGCAAAAGTGTTTTAGTACGGGACACTTTGAAAATCTCGACCCTGCCACTTTTGCGATAATTTTTTAAGCTGACACCGGCGCACAGTAGCAACTACTTAGGTATATGGTGGATTGCACCATGAACAGCTGATGAAAGAGTGTACAGAGGGTATCAAGGTCAAACAAGGATGAGAAATTTTGTTCATTCAGAGATCCACCATTCTTCGTTAAGGGGGCTACAAATCATAGAAATCGGTCAAGAATCTTTTCTGCTAAAAAGGGCTATTCAAGAAGGTTACCTTAAACGTTTATGATGTTTGTATTACTCAGCAGGCCTCACTGGCAAAACTTTATATCTCAAAATCCGCCTTTGTTGCCTCTGTCATAACTCACTAGCAATATTTCGGTACTTTTAACTTATTATTTTATAGAGTGCGGCCTTCGACTCGATTCGCAAGGACGTTGGCTGACATTTTCAACGTAGTGGGCAGATCATCAACCTTTATCCTTTGGTGCAAAAATTGTAAAAATCATGTTTCCTATTAAATAATTCTGCGCTAAAATTAACGCAAAGCGCATCGCCTCTGTAAACTCTCCCCTCACAAAAGAGGTCTGGCCAATAAAAAAAGTACAGTAGCGCAAAGGTGTATCTACAACTTATGCATCAGTCAATTACACCTGCGCCCAGCCCCCCCCCCGGGCTACTGCGGGGCATTTGCAAATTTTGCACTGCCCGGGGGGGCCAGGGGCCCGTTTCTCGAAAGTCCCGATTATTAACGGGCCCGGTTAGCTGTCTCAGTTTACATTAAAGATCGAGTTTTCAATAGTTTTGCATCTAACGTGGTAAAACTATCAGTTAATGAAACAAAATAGAGTAGTTTGCTAGCCAGGACCTGCGCTAGTATTCTTTATATTTCGATTTGAATATTTGATTTCGGGCCCGAAAAGTTGCCGGGACTTTCGAGAAACGGGTCCCAGGCATTTGCCAACCCCAGGGCCATTCCCGAGCTTTTGACACGCACGCGGTTTCCTATAAGAATATAACTACACAGAAGGTTTTACTGGGAAAAAAGCAGATTGGCTCATCTGTCAAGGACAGGAATAAATTGTAGAGGGCTGTAAAGGCATGTTCTGGATTTTACGCATGCATTTCTTCATTGCTTATCAAGCCAGAATTTCGTAGCGAAATTAGAGCTATCGATGTGAATCAACGTTTTTTGGTTATTGAATCAAATTTCCGATGATATTATTTCAAGAACATCCTTTCATATTTATAAAACTATTCATAACATATTGCTTGAACGTATTCCATGATTGCTACAAAGAGTGCAGGACGGCTTGCGCTCCTTCCTGATGTCAATAAGTTTCGCAAAAGAAGATTTCTCCATTTTTCTGCGCTGCACCACGTTTTAGCCAAGAAACAAGTTAGTAGACTGTTGTTTTTCTCAAGAGGCGCGCCCTCTATAAACCCACAAATGACAAACAAACAAAGAGAAGTCGAACATGATTGGACAATACCGCCTGTTCACGTGCGCAACTCGTGTTAAAAGGTGACAAACATTTGTAAAAGTTATTACAAACAACAACAGCAAAACACCAACAAAAATATTTCATATTGAGACGAACTCACTTTATCAAGCAGAAATAAATGCCATATAATCAAACACATACTGATGAAAAGAAAAGAAAAACTGGGATGGAAACTACGTTTCAACAAAAGTAGTTGAAAACCTGCATCTCAAATCAGTTTCACATCTGATTCCTTTTCCTTGAAATCAAGCACGAAATGTACAAGAAATCTAGTACACCACTTGTAAATTTTCTTCGCGACAAGACCTTGACATTTCCTGCTTTTAGTACGCAACGTTCAAATCAACAACAAAAAGTTGCAATTTTCTTGAAATCAGTCGCTGCCTGAGGCAAGATCTGTATCAAATTTAAACTCCCTCTCAATTTCCAGATCTTCACAACACTTGTTAACGTTTTCGAAACACTCGCCTTGACAACGTTTCTTCTAAGTGCCTACAGTTTCTTGGAATTTCTTTCCTTCTTTCTTGTTTTGCTCATTTGATCGATTTATATGTAATAAGTGATGTAAGCATCGTAGAAAAAATGTTTATCATCGAAAGTCATGAAAACGATCGTGAGACTAAATGATATTTTTTCTGAAAATAATAAACTCTTCAAGCAAAAATAAAATAAAATAAAATAAAGGCTTGTAGAAAGAAAAGATCAAGTACTTTCTTTGGAACTAAACACACCCGAAACGGAACACTGCTTTGATTCTTGCGAAAATATTTAATCAGTTGTCAACGCATTGTCTCCTCCTATTTTAAAATTAGCGCGCGGAATTCTGTTACGGTATGATTAATGATGATTTCCTTATTCTTCACCTCTTTTTTTCTTGGCAAAAGTGTTTTAGTACGGGACACTTTGGAAATCTCGACTCTGCCACTTTTGCGATAATTTTTTAAGCTGACACCGGCGCACCCTATCAACTACTTATATTAGGTATATGGTGGATTGCGCCATGAACAGCTGATGAAAGAGTGTGCAGAGGGTATCAAGGTCAAACAAGGATGAGAAATTTTGTTCATTTAGAGATCAACATTAATCGTTAAGGGGGCAACAAATCATAAAAATCGGTCAAGAATCTTTTCTGCTAAAAAGGGCGATTCAAGAAGGTTACCTTAAACGTTTATGATGTTTGTATTACTTGGCGGGCCTCACTGGCAAAACTTTAAATCTCAAAACCCGCCTCTGTTGCCCCTGTCATAACTCACTAGCGATTTCGGTAGTTTAACTCATTATTTTATAGAGTGCGGTCTTCGACTCGATTCGCAAGGACGTTGGCTGACATTTTCAACGTAGTGAGCAGATCATCAACCTTATCCTTTGGTGCAAAAATTTTAAAAATCATGTGTTCCTATTAAATAATTCTGCGCTAAAATTAACGCAAAGCGCATCGCCTCTGTAAACTCTCCCATCACAAAAGAGGTGTGGCCTATAAAAACAGTACAGTAGCGGAAAGATGTATCTACAACTTATGCATCGGGCAATTCCACCTGCGCCCAGCCCCCTCCCTCCGGCTACTGCGGGGCATTTGCAAATTTTTCACTACCCGGGGGACCAGGCATTTGCCAACCCCGGGGCCATCCCCGAGCTTTTGATACGCACGCGGTTTCCTATCAAAATATAACTAAACAGAAGGTTTTACTAGGAAAAAAGCAGATTGGCTCATCTGTCAAGGACAGGAATAAATTGTAGAGGGTTGTAAAGGCATGTTCTCGATTTTATGCATGCATTTCTTCATTGCTTATCAAGCCAGAATTGCATCGTGAAATTGGAGCTGTCGATGTGAATCAACGTTTTTTGGTTATTGAATCAAATTTCCGTTGATGTTATTTCAAGAACATCCTTTCATATTTATAAAACTATTCATAACATATAACTTTACAGCGTTCTATTAATTTTAATGTCAGTAATTTTATATCTATACTAAAACTATGAACTGGTGCATGTCGTCGCGGCGTGAAGTCTTAATTAGAACCCTAGCAAAATGCTTAAAATGGCACTATCTGACTGTGCGATCAATGAAAAATGTTGCAGTGTTGACGCAAGACGCGGCATTTGTCCTCAATTTTCATCCCCACCCTGGGGGATTTGACAGTTCAAGAGTCCCCACTCCCGGGAAATTGCATTCCAAGGCAGAAAAAAAAAATGCTAATGCCCAGGGGTCAGCAGGTGCAGGTGGAATTGACTGATGCATCACTATAATAACACCATGAGATTATTTCTTTACAAATGTAAAAATTTTAAATTTGTTAACAAAACTGTGTCGTGAAAGGCTAGGATTCACTTGCTTTCAGCCTCACAAAAGTTCCCTGCACTGGGAGCACACTGAAATATTTCTTCCCCATATTAAACAATAATAAATGATGGCCAAGGCTCTAAAAATCAATTAATTATTATTTTATATATTAATTATT